ATCAGTAATTACATTAAATGTAAACAGAATAAACATTACAAATAAAAAAACATAAAGATTTTTGTAACTAAGTAATATGAGTAAGACCCAACTATATTTCCAGGGGATAGACCTTAAATACAAAATACAAATCAGTTGAAATAAAAGGAAAGAAAAACTAGCATGGAAATACTGATGAAAAGATACAATCTGTATACTAGAAATAGACTTAAAAACAAGAAGTAGTACTAGAAATAAAGGTCATTTCAACCCTGAGTAACAATAATCCTGTTTACAACAAATGAGTGTCAAAATACATAAAATTTTAAGAAAAAAATAGACAAATCTACAATCATAAATCATGATTCTAACAATCATTTTATAATTTGAGCAACATGTTAAGCAAATCAACCTTATTGACACAGACCACTAACACCAACAAATTCGGAATAACATTTTTATGTACACATGAAATGTATCAATCTTTTAAAAACACAACAAAATGATAAGAAGATTTTTCAAGTTTCTTTAGAGGACCAACAAACCTTGATTCCAAAATCTAATTTAAAAAATTACAAAAAGAAGAATTACATTCCAATATTTCTTATGAACAGATGTAAAAACTAAGCAAAATGCTAACAAATTTAACTCAAATCTTTTCTTGGGAGTATAAAATTGGTCTGGCATTAAAAATCAATCAGTGTAATTCACCACATTACAGATTTAAGAACAAAAACCACATAGCTTATCACAATAGAAGTAGGAAAAAAATCATTTGACAAAATTTAACAGCCATTCATGATTTTGAAAATTCCCAGGATAGCAGGAATAGGTAAGAATTTCTTTAATCTAATAAAGAACACTGGCAAAAAACCTGTAGCTAACATCATAATTAATGCTTTATTCATAATAAAGATGTTGAACTTGGTTATACTTGGCTCAAAAATAAGACTATCTTTTTTCTACTGAATGTTACTCTGAAAGTCTTGAAAAACAAAAAAAAGGAAATGCTGAAAAAATTACACTAGTCATTTCCAAATAGTTCTCATATGCATAGAAAATATTAAAGAATCTATAAACTATTTACTATTAAAAGTAAGCAAATTTAGTATCTGTAAGATGGCTCAGTAATTAAAGATGCTTACCACACAAACCTGGTGATCTGAATTTGGTTCTCGGAACCCACTTAAAAGTAGAAGAGAACCAACTCCACAAGGTTGGTCTCTGATCGCCACACATATGCTGTGGCATGTGCATCCATAAACACACACATCATGCATACATGAGTACATGTGTGTACACACAGAAAGAGACAGAGAGTATGTAAAGGTTCAAACAAAGGCAAATAAACAAAGGAAAAACAACATATTCTCCAGAAGGAACAGACAGACGCACCTAGTTTATATCAAGGTACTATATATAATCTAGGGGGGAAGGAAATTTTTGTTTGTTTAAAATAAGAAAATGGTGCTAGACTAACTAAATACCCACATTTAAAAAAAAAATACCTGATGTCAACCTCACACCATTCCTATAAATTAATGTCAAAGCAATCTCTACTTACCTCACTCATGCAAATTAATATGAAATAAAGAGCTTTAAAGTAAAGGAAAAAATTTCTAAAACAAAACTTTGGAAAGTGTTGGCCAATTTTTCTATTTTTTAAAATTAATTTTATTTAATGTGTGTGGGTATTTTGCCTGCACGTATGTCTGGATATCTACCACATGCGAGCTTTGTGCCTTTGGAAGATGGCATTAGATTCCCTGGGACTAGAAATAGATGGTTGTAAATCTCTATATGGATGCTGGGATTGAACCTAGGTCCTCATAAACTCTGAGCCGTCTCTCTAGCCCCAGGATTTCCTTAGCAAGGCACAAGAACACTTATCTATAAAAATTAAAAATGATAAATTAAACTTAACTAAAAATTGTTAATTTTTATTACTAGGTATTACTTAGAGTGTCAGTTACAGAATAGAATTCAGAATATACAGTAAATTCCAATAAATCCAAGACAAAGTCCAAATCTAAGATATAATGAAAATCCATAGTAAAAGTACTCACTATCATTATCCTCCTGAGAATGAATGTGAAAAGCCACTGCACATCAACTAGAATAGCTAAAAACACAAAAACACTCAGACTTCTCCTATATTCAAATCAAATTCTCCTGCACTGATGACAGGAATGTAATACTGTACAACCATTTCAGAAAACAACCATTTAGTCATTTTACTCCTAGGGGAAAAAAATGTGTTCATCAATGATATACACAAGAAAATCTCAGAGCAGCTTTACTTAAAATAGTGAAATCAGGAATAAATTCAAATGTCTATCAATAGAATAATAATCCATACTTCCATTAGGATACTACACAGCATTAAACAGAGTGAGCTCCAGTATTACAGGTGAACATGACAGAAATACTGCTAAATGAAAGAAGTCATCACTTTATATGAAGTTCAAGAAATGATAAAACTAAAGCAGAGAAAGGCAGCTCATGCCTGTAATCCCATCATTTGGGAAACTAACACAGGAGAATCACAAGTTTAAGGTCAGCCTGACCTACACAATGTGTTCTAGACCAGCTTCGGCTACAAAGTGAGGCCTGTGATAGGGAAGGCAGGAAAGGGGAAGCATGAAGGAAGGCTGGGAGAGAGCAAATGGGGAAGGAAAGGAGAAGAGAAAGTAGAGAAGCAAGAACTGACACACTCTGTGATACCTAGTCTACTTTCAGAACCAACATTATTACTTTCACAAAACAGTCAGGATTCAATCCTCTCACACTACTAAGGCCCAACTTTTAAAAGTTCCACCACTTTTCAATGTTTCCACTAGTGGCCAGATTTACAACACATTGACCTTTGGGAGATGAGTAATACCAAATACAAGACACGTAACATTAATTACTCACTTTAACGGCATCTTAGTTTCTTTATCTACTAGATTGATTAGTATGTATACATAAAATCCTCGACGAATGTTCTTAGTCCAAAACTCTGTCTTCAAAATGAACTGTTTAATTAAAAACTTGAATTCTCAAATTTCAAACTACTATATAGTCACTTAAGGCTTAAATTAACAAAACTGCATTACCTCTTATAATTCTAATTTGAGAAAGTTAAAATCACAGAACTGCCTGCTGCTGTTTATCCCTAGTTCCTTAACTCTATATTTAAGTTCATCCACTTTAGCCTAGACACTCCAGTGCCACCCCTTCAGCAGCCAAGAAATCTGACAACTAGATTATCTTTTCCTTTCTTTTCTAAGGAAGAGTTATTCATTCTTCCAGGCCTTGCTCAAACATTACCTTCTTAAAATGTCATACCTCCTACAGTCATTCAGTCAAACTTAATTGTTCCTTCCTCTGCACCCACAGCATGTTGCTTGTACTCCTGTTATAGCTCTTATTTCATTCTGTATTTACAGTACTTGCTTTCATGTAAGTCCTTTCCAAAGGAAGAATATATTCAGCCAGCTAGATCAGCCAAAACAACCCTAGAAATCAATGGGCAACAGCATACTAATCACCTTCAAATCTGATGGTATGTTAATAGTAATAAAGTGAGATTCCAGAGACTGACAGTGTCCCTAACTCATAACATAAAGAGAGCAAATACATATCCAAGACAATAAGCCAAACACATACCTTCAAACAGTTTAAAAAAGAGGCAAATTAAGTATGCAATGGAGAAATTCCCTATCAAATTAATTTTGTGTTAATAAATACATGACTAAAGAGGATGCAAGCACATTATTTAGGGTTACACGTCAGTAATCATCTTGTTATTAACTTACCAGTTTGGTTGGTACAATATAACCTCACATATATTGACCTAGAAGAATCACAATTTTTCCTCAAAACCTTTAGAAGCACACTGAAATAAAGTTAATCCTCTGAATAGTTCAAACAGTAAAGCATAAGTAATTAGAAAAGTATTAATGGCACTGATTTTTCCAAAATGAAAAAGACAAGTCCATGCTGATAGAAAATGAAGCTTACAACATAAAGCAAAGATGGACCTTCAACCCTAATCAAATATCTCTAAGGTCTCATTTTCTACTTGCATTTTGTGACAAAAAAATAATAAATTTAAAATAAATGTTCTCTTTTACTAAAGATAGTCGATTAGACTTGTTACTTGCAATAGAAGCAATCATACAGAGACTTAATCTGATGTCCTCATTAGTCGTGTGCCCTATAGATATACACATGCCTGTACAATCTCTTCCTACAATGACTATGCATTGAGCTATGTCTATTGTGACCAACAGAATAATGGAAGTAAAGCCATGCCAACTTTAGGCATTCTTAGAAATCAGCTATCACACCATGAGACTAATGAATCAACAAACATACAGATACCCATATGTAGGAGAGCAAAACCCTGGCCAAGAGTTCTAGTAATACCTCCAAGTGACTATAGCTACATCAGAACACTAACAGCACCTGTAGTAAAAGCACAAGTTAATTTACAGAAATATAAGAGCTATTAAATTGAAATATTAAATAACAAAGTTTTGCAGAATTTTGAAATGTAAATTATAACAAATATAGTTCAATTTTCTTAATATATACTATGACTTAGAAAGGGAAATGGAAAGCTATAATCATTAAACTAGCTAATGCTGCCTTGCCATTCGTATTCTATAAATAAAATTTTACTGAAGGGCAATCACACTCATTGGCTTGCATCTTGTCTATGTCTGCTTTTGCTATACAAGGACAAGTTAAGTAGCTGTGACAGAAATGTTATCGCCCACAAAGCCTAAAAACTCTACTATCTAGCATATTACAGAAGAAAAATAAGGTCTGGCAAACTCTATCATTCAGTATTTGGCAAGTGTTTTAAGACAAAAATTACTTAAGTGCCAGGCATAATGGTGCATGCCTGCAATCCTTACATTTGGGAAGCTAAACAAAGAAGATTTTAGTTAGAGGTCAAGTCTGGACCATGAAACAAGAGCCTGTCTCAAACAAAACAAAGAAAACAAAAACAAAAATCTTACAATACATACCAATTGTAGGGGCTGGGGGACAACTCAGAGTGAAGTTCTTGCCTTGCAAGCACAATCTGAGATTGAAATATATATATATTGGATCCAGGAAAGTTGATGACACACTTACAATCCCAGGGTTAGGGAAAGCAATGATAGAAGGATTCTTGGGGTTCCCTAGTCAGTCAGTCTCAAAAGAAAAGTGAATGGCACCTCAAGAACATCTGAGGCTGTCTCCTAATGTTCACACGCGCAGGCTCTCTCTCACACACACACACACACACACACACACACACACACACACACAATGTGTACCAACTTTACAATCAACTTCTCATACTTAAGCTTTAGAAGTATTTAGTACTTTACAACTGAGTTGGAGTATTTGCAAATAAATGTAACTAAAATCAAAGTAAAACATTTTACTAATGGTCAGAAAAAATAACAGAATGATAAAATTGGGTATGTCACTATTTAACTGCTTAAAAGTTTCTATTACATAAGTGGAAGATCTCCATTATTCATCTATGAATTTATCATGTATTATACATGACCTACTTTCAAGTGCAGGATGATGCATAATTGACAATTTTTAATTAATACATTATAAACCTATTTGCAAAAGAAAACAGGTAAATCCAAGTACCTTATTAACTTCTGTTGATGATTGCCAAACTTTTCTACAAAAGTATCTTTGGCAATGCTCAAAATTTTATTCTCCTCGGGGGATTGGGATGGGGGGGGGAGGAAGGATGGATATGGAATCAGGGAAGTATATATCTCAACTAAGGGAGTCATTTTAGGGTTTACAAGAGACTTGATTATAAAGGGGATCCCAGGTCCAAGGAGAGATCCCCAGATTGTTCTCTGGACAGAGGAGAGGGTGCCTGAACCGGCCTTGGCCCATAACCATACTGATGAATATTTTGCATATCACCATAGAACCTTCATCTGGCGATGGATGGGAGATAGAGACAGAGACCCACATTGGAACACTGGACTTAACTCCCTAGGTCCAAACGAGAAGCAGAAGGAAAGAGAACGTGAGCAACGAAGGCAAGACCAGAGGGAACCTTCACCCGTTGATGGATGGAGATTGAGACAGAGACCCACTTTGGAGCACTGGACTGAGCCCCCAAGGTCTAAATGAGGAGCAGAAGGAGGGAGAACATGAACAAGAAAGGCAGGACCGTGAGGAGTGCGTTCACCCACTGATACAAGGGGACTGATCTAATGGGAGTTCACCAAGGCCAATTGGACTGAGACTGAACGAGCACGTGATCCAACCAGATTCTCTGAATGTGGCCGGATTCTCTGAATGTGGCTGGCACGGGGTCTTTCTGAAAAACCATTGACAATGACACTGGGACTTGTTTCCTCTGCATATACTGGATTTTTGGGATCCAGTCTGTTTGGATGCTCACCTTCCTGGATCTGGAGGGAGGGGGGAGGAACTTGAACTTCCCACAGGGCAGGAAACCCTGACTGCTCTTAGGGATGGAGAGGGAGGAGGAGAGGGAGTGGGGGGAGTGGGAGGGTGTTGGGAAGTATAGGATTTCATTACTCAAATTAGGATTAGAGACCCTCCAAGAGTTATGGAGAGCCACGTAAGGGCATGCATATAAGACACTACTCATAAAGAACAAGTCTTCATCAGAAACCAAATCTGCCAACTTCTATATTTGTGCTCAATTTCCCTTACTCCAGAACAATAAAAATTAGTTCCTATTGCTTAAAAATCATTCAGTCTAATGTATATTGTTAATATAGCCAGAGCAGAGTGACATGCCTCTCCATGTGATCCTGGTAAAGCCACCTGCTTAATATCTGTCAATAATACACATATGACACAGACCTGGGACCAATCAAGGTCCTCAACTCTAGCAATGACAGACCCAAAAATGGGCATAAGCCAAGTGAAGGAGTATCACAGAATTACATGTAAAAATACCACGAGAAAGAAAACTCTCTAGTTAGGAAGACGAAAACTTGAAATTGTCCATTACTATGACTTCTCAAACTGTACCTCTCTTCCCAATTTTGAATGTAAGAAAGACAACCTGTAACATACTCAAAAATAAAACATGAAATGGAGATTCCATCATTACAGTAATTCAAAGATCACGTGATTTGAGTACTTCAAGTCAGCACCTCTTCTAAGCTCTGTGGTTATTTAAATTGTGTTCCACTTTACACCAAAGGTAACTTTTAAGTTCAGTATTTTTCATTAGCAATAAAACAATGTTCTAATCTACCCATATAATACAAGAAAGATACCTTAAGAGAACTTATAAATATTAAAAAGCTAATAATCAATAAAGGTGAGACGATCAGTATGACCAGTTACAAGGCAAGTTGGTAATGCCATCAAAATACATTCTTAACCTAAAATTTCTACTTAATTAATTTTATATTATAAAAACTGAAATCATGTGATAATAAATGTGTAACAATATCATCCATAATAGTTATCACAGTAAAAAAATTTAAAAGGGGGCTGGAGAGATGGCTCAGCAGTTAGGAGCATTGCCTGCTCTTCCAAAGGTCCTGAGTTCAATTCCCAGCAACCATATGGTGGCGCACAACCATCTGTAATGAGGTCTGGTGCCCTCCTCTGGCCTGCAGGCATACACGCAGACAGAATATTGTATACATAGTAAGTAAAGAAATAAATATTTAAAAAAAATTTTAAAGGAACCTCAATGATCACCAGTTGGGTACTGAGTAAAGCATACTGTATGATAAAACACCATAGAGGCATTAAAAAGAAAGCTGATATGTACTTCTTTAAAGACCTACATGAAATCATTTGTACAGACCAAGAGGGAATATAATATAGTTGGCAAGCACTCACACTTTCGTGACAAACTATATGATTCAACTTGCAGTTTGGTTTCTTACCATAGTAACTTACACAAGCCAGTTGAATCACTCTCATTATTTTTGCCTCAGTTGTAAACTGGTGATAGTATTAAATAGTAGGTTCTGTAACTGGCTTTAGAAAGTATCTTATATTTGGTAAGCTCCCATTGAAGTTAACTACTATTATTTTCACTAATAGGAAAAAATGCCCAAAACATGCTATAAAAAGAGGAGGAAAGGGAAGTACAGAGTAAGAATCACAAACCCAAACGTTTATCAGGTTCAGGAAATATAAATAGGCTAATCGAGAAATAAAGGAAATTGGAGAATGCATGACCTATCTCAAGGGGACAGCCAATCTAAAAACTCAGTCATGTCGGGGGAAAAATTAGTTTTATGTACAATACATAATTTTTAAGTTTTGAACACTAATACTTTCTCTAAAAATACTGCTGTATAAGTCTATAAAATATGTAGGTGATAATTATGGCCAGTTGTCCATTGATATGTAAGCTTTCATGTGTTATATGGATTGCATGTATACAAATTCAAATACATAAATAATAGACAAAAAACCAAAATTTAAAGTGGCAGCACTAGAGATTGTAAGAGTAAGACCGTGCTGTTTAATTTCATATTTTATCATGCTATTATTACATTTTTATACATAAAGATATTGTAATAGGTTGTTTTAAACTAAAGGCATGACAGGAATTGAGGAGCTTTCCTACTTGCAATTTAATTAACTCGAATGTAACTTGTACAATGTAGGTATTAATTTTATGAATGTGCAGTTTAGAAAGTTTGCATTAGAACAAAAATATTCACCACCAACTTTTAAGTAGATGGAGAAGGGATTTATACCACTGAAATGTTTCATCTTTTATTATTTTTAGTATTTATATTCTTATTTCTAAGACATTCAATTATTCTTACCTGAATAGATTCTAAAAATCATTTAAATGACTTTTTTCTTAATGTTTAAAAAAAAGGTAAGTTTTAAAGTTTAATTTCTACTAAGTACTCAGATTGAATTAATTTTCTATTTGCAAGTTTTTACGTTTTTTTAACATTTCTATATCAGGCTGACACTAGACAACTAGTCATAGTCCTGAAATCACATATAAAGAAAACCACTTGTTAGAGCGTCATTCATCTTCTGATTCTCAAAACTCAAAAGCTAAAATGTTTATTTTTTAGACCTTCATGTCAAATCTAATTGTAATTTTGTATATAATTCTTAGCAAGGATTTTTTAATACTTCCCAAGGATAAAATAGGTTAGGATCTAAGAAGAGAAGATCATATATGTATAAGTCATGACTGAAAAGTTAATATCTACAGATTTGTGCTACTGTAGTCAATAATAACAAATATTCAGAATAGATTAAGATACAGTTATAAAGAAGATAGTCACTACTGTGCTTGAATCTTGACATTGCCACTAGTAAAATTCTAAGTTACTTAACCTCTCTACTCTTCAGGCAATATGAAAGGAATCAGAGCGCACCTTTAAAGTTGTAAAGATTAAATAACATATCCAAAGCACTTAATATAAACAGAACATATATGTGCCCAGTAAAGGTCTTTTAAACCTTATTCAGTAAAAACTCATGCTAAGTTTCTTATCTTAGCAGAAAATGTAGAGAAACCTAAAATTTTATACCAAAATTTGCTAACTGTGGAAGAAGATCAAGCTCTGGAGTTATACTTAAGTCATCCACACAAAAAGTAAAATATAGTAGCACTGAATTCCCTACAATGTAACGTAAATAAACCATAAATGTTCTCAAGTCAGTGTTAGACTATAAACTCCAAGGGCTGTTTCTTAGTTACTATCATATTCCTTACTTAACAGAGGGCCTGATATTTTAGCAATTCTTGAATATATCATTTCAATAATATATTAGTTTCTCATACTAATCCTACACAGTAAGCATAATTACATACATTTAAACTCAAAAGACGCTAAACTAAAAAACTGGCTCAAATGTCTTTAGTAAGTGACAGAGGAAGCATAACTTTTGTTGCATGTCAAAAGCTTATGAGAGAATTAACCTTCAAACAGAATTTCAAAATTTTACCTATAGTTTCACATTTTAAAGGTATTTTTTAAAGAATTATTTTTCATTTAGTTGTGTTTGTGTATGTCATGTGTGTGCAGGTACCCACAGAGACTAGAAAGTATCAAATCCCCAGAGCAGGAGGTACAGATG